AAGGAATGGTGGGAATCCTCCTAAAATCCAAGTTCCCAGATGCGAGCCAAGGGCCAATCTTACGAGCAAGTTTTTCTAAGAGTAGTTTCCGACCTGTTTGTTAACCCTTTTCTGCACTCCATTCTCCTCATAATCCTTTTGATGTTTAAATGCAATTCTATTATGTCTCTCTTTAGTTTTTTGTTCTCAGTGAATACATAATTAATTCTTTTTATGAATGTTTCCACACTTTTCATCTGTTTTAGTCACCTTCATCTAGGCTCTGGCTTGACTATGTCTCCCTTAAACATGAAGCCAAAAATGTAAAATAATATTCCAGGCATAATTTTAGCATAAATAGGATACTGCATTTTTATAATGGAGTAAAATATTTTGATTTTTTAAAGATTGCATTACTAATGGGTGATTCTGAGCTACAGATAAAACTCATTCTAGGACATTTTATTTACAATCCCATTAATGGCATTTCGTTTGCTTAAGCATAATGCTCTTATTTACCAAGATGATTTTGTATCACAATTCTATCATCTGTCCTCGATTGACTATTCTTTCTAGCCTCCTGTCATGTAAAAATTATTAAGGGTTCTGGAGCCAGACTACTCAATCCAAATTATGGTACCACTACTTACTAGCAATGTGACCTTGAGTAAGTTAGCATAAATCCTCTGTGTGCCACAGTTACCTTATCTGTAAAAACTAGGAATAATAATCATATCTATCTCAGAGAGTTGTTCAATGGAATAAATGAGATAATGTATATAATAAGCTTAGCATTGCGTATGGCACACTCTAATTACATAATAAACATTTCTTATTAATCTAAATTATTGATAAGAATAAACAGGTCAGGATCAAGGGCAAAGTGCCATGGCATTTTGGGGGTGACTTATCTCAGAGATGACAGCAATCAAAATTCTTTAGGAATATCAATTCAATGAGATTTATACTTTATTATGCACTTAAATCCAATATAAAAATTCAAGATAGAAAGGACAATTAGATATTCATTATTATCAATTTTTAGTTAGAGGACTGTAGTCTCTAAACATAACCTTTTTGTCACCTATCGAATACTTGAATAAAAAAGAAATCAAGATAGACTAGACTGGTAAGAAAATCTTTATCACTGAGAACATAATTTCAATTGTTAGAGAAACTCCTACCTATGTCAGAAGTCTGGCAGGATAAGAGATAAACACACTCCTGTGCTTATTCTTGTATATTGCCTACAAGGCAATATGATGAAAATAAAATATTAAAATGGTAGCCAAAGTATAATGGAAAGAAGCATTTTTACCCTCTATCTTTTACTAATAAGAAAAATCAAGGGAACACTAATGATAAAGTCTAGTAAAGAACAAATACTTGTAGCACTTGTCATCTGCAATCAGAAGAGTTTAAATTCTCAGACAAAATGTAACATCTGGAATGTGAATTTTAATGGCCATAGGAAGCATCAAAATGCACATTTCAATACTGAACTTCAAAAACTTACTGACTTTTGAAGAGAAAATGACAAAGGAATATAAATTATGCATAATACTTGCTATGCTTTTTCTTACTAACACAGTCACATTCCTAAATTTTTCCAAGAAAAGATTAATCAACTACATATGGATAATCAAGGAATGAAGGTTTATTTCCAAACAAATGGCTGTCATACAGTTTTTAGCAAGCTAACATTTCCAGTAATGGCTGCCTACAATGTGGTCCTATTTAGAGTCAAATATGAATCTTAAAATTAACTCATTCTAATGGTGCCTTGAAGTAGGGTGTGGTGTGGAGGGATAAAGTGGGAGTTTAGGATTTGCAGATACTAACTACTACACATAAAATAGATAAACAACAAGGTTCTACTGTATAGCACAGGGAACTATATTCAATACCCTGTAACAGTCTATAATGAAAAAGAATATCAAAAGGAATATATTTATATACATATATATACTTCAATAAAGAAATTTAAAAAAAAAATTGCTCAGTATTCACTTGGGAAGCACAGCTGCAGAGGCATTCAGATCTGGGTTTAAATCCTTACTCTGCAACTCAGTGTGTGACTTCAGGCAAGTTACTTAAATTTCTCTAAGCTTGTTTCTTCACTTATAAAATGGAGGTAATATTTATCTCATAGGCTTTTTTAAGAGGATGAATTAGGATATATTGTATGTATATATTATTGTGGCTAAATAAACAACATAAAACTTACCATTTTAACCAATTTTTAAGTGTACAGTTCTGTGACATTAAGTGCATTCATATTGTGCAACCAGCAGCAAGGATATGTTTTTAAAGTGTTCAAGATTGAGCACAGTTATTCCCCAGTGAACGGCAGCTAAAATAACTCATTAGTGCTAACTTATTCTATCTTGATTCTGTGTGAATTATTTATCCAAACAGAAACTATTTCATACTTATTTCTACTGAATTGCTCCCAATCTGGGAAATACAAATTTCAATTTTTAAGCTGTAAGCTATATTCCTAGCTTTCAAATTCTTCATCCAAGTAAATGACAAATATATAAAATCATTAAGCGCTAATAACACTTATTTAGCATATAGTATGTACCTGGTGCTATTCTAAGGACTTTACAAGTATTGACACATTTAATCCACACAATAATAATTCTAGGAGGTATATACTAATAACAGTCACATTTTATAGCTGAGTAAAAAGAGGCTAAGAAACCTGCCCAAGGTCACCCAGCTGGTGGGCTGACAAAACCAGAATCTGCACTCAAACCAAGTTCTGGAGACCAGGCTCTTAACTATTCCACTAGGCTGTTTCTCCCACATTCAATAACATGGGGCCCGTGGGAATGATTACTTTTGGATGCCAGATGTCATACACTGATTTAGCCTTTGAGTTTCTCAGAAGCTTGGGCATCCATTATTTTATGTGTTCTTCCTAACGACAATGAAGTGCAATTACTCCCATTTTACAGATAGAGAAGTAATTTGCTCAAGGTCAACAGGAACATGTAAGAAAGACTGGATTCCATGTGGCCACTTGGCCACAACTGTGTGAATCCATAATTTCCCTGAGCTTCAATCAATTGTGAAATGGAAAAAACAGTAATATCTCTTACAAGAAGTAAAGAAATATAAGTTTGCAAAGCATTTAGCACAGAGCCTGTATTAAAAGTGCTCAATAAATGTCAGCCCTCTCTTTCATCATTCTTCTGTGACTCCTGGCATAGTATTCTTTTCAAACACCATGCTACTGTTTCTTGATACCCTCTCACCAACTGCATTAACAGATTGGTGGCAAAGAACATGATTTTTTGGTAATTACCATGTGATACCAAATGAAACCTCAGTGAAGTCCAGCTATATTATATAATTTTAAGTATAACAAACTTCCTCCCTTTTGTCCATATGGTCTACCACTTTATCAAAGTAGAAAACAAAATTGGTCTACCAAGATTTGTTCTTTATAAAATTATGCGTAATGTTCCCCAATACCTTCTGTTCTTTTAGGTAACTGCCAAATGATTTACTTGATTTGTTCTAGTTCCTGACCAGGCATTAATTAAAAATTAAGTTGACATTATTATATCCAAAGTTATCCCTTTCTCCTTAAAAAAAATAGTATACCTTTTTCTGTCCGCAGATATTTCTCCTATTCACCATAATTTGTCAAAAATAAAAGTTAATAGCTTGATACTAAGTCCTTTTCCCTCATATTTGCATAGAGGGAATATCTAATACTGAATTTATAAGTACTATTCATGCCAAATATGGCCATAGTATTTGGTGTTTCTTATCAGCTGGGCAGCATTTTCCTCAAGAAAAGATAAAAATGCTAGGAGTGGGTATGGTCTCTTATAAAGCAAAACTGCTCCATATTAATCTTTTTTTTTTCCTGGATAGCAAGGATGTCACAAAGCACACTCTGTTGGCTTCCAAGTATCATTTAAAATACTTACATGTCTTAAAGCAATCTGGAAGTGGATGTTAAAAGCCAAAGGAATTTTTCAATCAACTGCTGACTTCTGAAATCCACTACCTCCTCAATAAGATAGAAGGCACACTGGGAGGCTACAATCAGGAGCCCCAGAGAAAAGTGGTGCTGTGGAAAAAATTCATCTGTCTTTGGCAAAGTGAAGATTCACTGCCAGTTTGTACCAGTATGAATTCAATTACTTCTCAAAGCCAAAAATGAGATTTAGATTGGAGCAGCTTTTCAAAGTAGCTTCTGCTAGGGGTTAGTAGCTAATACAAAAATAAAAAGCTGTGAGAAGTGGTAAAGCGAGGCAATGTTTAGGAATTAAAATATGACCTATCACTTGATTTGCTAAAAAAAAAAAAGGCACTGAGCTGAAGACAAGATATTTTGCTTCATTTATTCACTCCTTCTTGAGCTAACTTTAGGAAAAGGAGATGGGGGTTATATTTTTGGTGCTTAAGTTTAGCCATCTATAAATGACAACATTACTTGTCCCACTTATCTCATGGTCCTGACAGAAGGATAAATGAAATGACAGCTGTTAAAGCATTGTTCAAAATGTAAAGTATATAGCAATGTAAGACATAACTATTTTTAAAATTTATAAGCATCTACAATGAAGACATTTTAATAGTGCTAGTCCCACTGGCCAGATAAACATTACTGACAAAGTTAGTTAGTGATGATATTTTTCTCAGCCCTCTGCGGAATTATATTTATCAACAAATATGAATATTTGTCTTATCTGTTAGTTCTAACTCATTTGATTTTACTTTAATAACTTAATACTTATAATAAACAAATTCAGCATAAATCCACTTAATTAAAAGGTGAAAATTTGGAACACTATCTCATAAAATCACTAAAATTTCTATCATTATATATTAAGAATATCTCAATATTACTGCAAAGGATTTTCAGTTTTAAATAAACAGGCTCCACAAAATAAATTTACTTCCCATTATTGACAGTCAAACTAAAAAAGTGAAGAACATTAATAGTTTCAAATGAAAACAGTACTCATATTTTTGTCCTATTAAATACCTCAACTTACCTCATCCCCCTTCAAAACTTCGGTGCCATCAAATTCACGGGTCTGATTTGTCTTTACTGACACCTCTCTCTCTAGGTTGGCTAACTTCTCCTTTGCTTCCTGAAGTTCCTCAGCTTTGGCTTCTTTTTTACGAGAAATGATGGATGCCTAATTGAGCATTAAATATGAATGTAAAATAAGACATACAATCAACCTTCTATTATCTTGTGAAATTATGTACTTTTTAGATTTCACTGAGCTAAATTTTCAATATCAGGCTGACTTGTCCTGACTAATAGTGCTTGCCCTACTACCTATTATCACTAGTTATATATTTAGTATGAGCATGTAATGTATATCAAACAGCAACCTAAAAATATTTTGGAAGACAAAAGCCCTGAAAATACTGCACAAATCAGCAGAGAAACAAAAATGCAATAGTAATAAAAATATTAAAATCTTGTCAAGTAACACTCAAATGCTAATGAAAATATATTCTAGGTAAGTAAACAGAAGCTAACACTAAGTTGATTTTTTTTTCTGCATGGTAGGTTTCCTCTCATTGGAAGAAAATAAGAATGCTTTATTCTCAAAACTACGACACAGGTCATCTTATCTAAATTTAATGTCCATGCTTTCAAAATGAAATGTTAAACCATCTATTACATTTGGGGAATTTTAATAAATAAAATGCAGGTTCAAAATCAAACATCTGACTCGCCAGAGTCATGCAAATGTTTACACAATCCAGATGGCTGCTTTTAGCCATAAACGCAGCATTTTATATTAGTTAGCAATTCTTGGGGGATTTCCTTAAATGAACCATGGCTGTACTAGTGTAAGAAAAACATTAGCCGTCTTCTCAAGTGAAACAGTACAAATATTTTCCTCAAATAAATTTGACAAGAGGGGAAATCTCTAGTGCAAACCCTTTTAAAAATTCTATTGTCCTTCCTGTTTAAAAAATGAAAAGACAGGCGATGAAGTAATGTTTCTCTCTATAGAATTATTCCAGCCAAAAATGAGAGGAATGATAAGAGTCAGGATTGTATAGAAATTGATGGTATACTTTCTTAATACAATAAAATAAATAAATATAAACCTCAGCTCAAACCAGGATCTTATTTAATAGATAAATATGAGGGAATATTCCACTTAAGTCTGAAACAAGATAAAAATGCCCAGCACCTCCACTACAACTTCACATTGTCTTGAAGGTATTTGCTCAAACCATTAGACACGAGAAAGCAATAAGAAGCGTAAGAATTTGAAAGGAAACAGTGGAATTTTCATAGTATATGGTTATGTACCTAAAAAAAGTCAAAAGAATCTACGGGAAACAAATCAATAGCTTTCAAAGATCAGTCAGAAAATATAAGGAAAGAAAAGCCCTCATTTACAAAAGTAAAAAATAAAATATGTAAGCATAAGCTAACAAGAGAAGTTCCAAAATTATATGAGGAAAACTATTAAACAATCCTGAAAGACACAAAAATAAACTTAAACAAATGGAGAGACATACCATGCTCTTAGATAGGAAGAAAATATTGTAAAGATGCAGGCTCTAAGGTAATTGATAAATATAAAGCAACTGCAGTACTTTTTAAAAGCATGATTTCTTTCCAGAGCTAGATAAATTGATAATAAAGCTTATCTGGAAGAACATATAAATAAGCATTGTAAGGAAAACCCTGAAAAAGTAGAGCAACTAGGGGTGAAGGTGGATAGTTTTATTAGATATTAGAACTTGATTATAAAACTTTTATAATTAAAACAGTTAATATGGGTACATAAATAGCCAGGTCAGTGGAACAACAGAAAACCTAAAAGAAATCCAATAGCATTTAAAAATTTAAAGTAAAACAGAGGAAGAATCTCAAATTCATTAGGGGAAAAATGAACTTTTTACTAACTGGTATTGGGAAAATTGGACAACTGGATAGCCATATACAGTAAATACCATATATGAAACCTCCCCCCCAAAATACTAAATAGACCAAAGATTTAAATATAAAAAATCAAATCACAGAATTCCGAAAAGAAAACTTGAGTAAATTTCTCCATAACTTGTAAGAAGGAAAAAAATGTTCCTAAATATGACTTGAAATCTGAAATAATAAAGGAAAAAAATGATAAATTTGATTTCACAGCAGTGAAGAACTTTCCCATGGCAAAAGAACACCATGAGCAAAGTAAAAATGCAAATACCAAACGATGGGAAAATGTTACATTTATAAGCTAGATAAAGAGCAAATACTCCTGTTATAAAAAGTTTGTAAAACTAGGAAAAAAGGCCAAGAACCCTAAAGAAACAAGGGTATAGATATTAATCCTTAAAAAGTAATCCCTAAAAATTGAAATAAACACATTTGCAGATCGAGTTTTAATTGGTGGCATAACCATACAGAAGAACTATTCCAAGTGACTTTAAAACAGTTATTTGATTATATGTCCCTAGTGGAATATATCCTAAAGACAAAACAAACTGAAAAATAATTTTCAGCAGTAATCATATTTTTGGTGGTAGTACCGGTACTTTAATTTTGAAACTGCTGTGTGTAAAGTATGTATTAAAGCAAATGATGAATTATGTTGGAGTGGTGAATTATGTTATATAAAGCAAACAATGAATTCAATTATGTTGATGTTACTGAGAACCAGAATTTTCAATGTAGGGTAAGGAGAAAGATGTGAGATTGATGAGGTTAAGTAAAAACCCAGTAGTCTGAACTGGAAAGGTTAGTATGAATACATGGTATACTTAATGAGACAGAAAAAGAAATTTACTTCCTAGCTCTGTTGACTGAAAAGACCTAAAAACAATGGCCACCCCAGCAGAAATAAGGAGTCCTAATACCCAGTTTGTGGTGCGTAAATACCATTTCCTACTACAACAAATGGGGTTCGTAGAAGAAAGTCTAATTCTAGGACTAGTGTAAGAAATGTAAAAGATGAGCCTAGAAATAATCATACTAGAAAGCAACGACATCAACAAAGACAAATACAATCATACAAGGACTCAGAAGTTAACTTGAAAAGCCTCCTATTAGCTAATGGAGCAATCTGAGCATCATTAAGGGAAATGTTTAAAACTTATCAAATTTTACTGTATCTATGATTCATAATAACATGAAACAGACATGCAACCAAAAAATTAAAAACTAACTCTAACTGATCACTTAACCCTAACTGATCGCTGTCACTGAGGAAACAAATGCGTTTTGAAGACCAATAAATAAAGGTAAGAAAGAGCATGTACCCTGACTCTCCTATATAAACTGTAACTCAGGGTAACAAAATAGTTGGAGAGGAGGTTTCTCTTTCCAGAAGTGGTCCAGCTAATAAATGAAGAAGTAATCATAGTATCAACATTTTGCAATCCCTAATGGAATTAATGGACAGGCAATGATAAGCAATGGCTGCTAACATCACACAAAATAAGAGATAACCAAACATTATTCCCTCAAAATGAAAAGTACAAAATACCACCTAGAAAGTATTCCTGACCAAAAAATTTCAAAACAGAATTTGTTCAAGCTTCCAGTTCTAATATATAGGAAATTCAGGAAATAGAGGAACGTTTTAAAATGACACCACAGGGTTGCAATCAGTAAAGCACAAACTATGGCAAATGCTACGGGATAAATAAACAAGTTTCTTCAATAAGTAAATCACAAGAAAATGATTAAATAAATGTATAAATAAGTGGGGAAGAGAACCTATAGATTAAAAGAGACTTAAGTGTATCAAATAAATGCAGTATATAAATCCTATATGGATCCTAATGAAAACAAAGCTGCTAAAAAAATAGAAAATAAGAAAGAAAAAAAAAAAGACAAGGAAATCTGAACACTGATTGGATATTTCCCAATATTAAGGAATTACTAAAATTTTCAAATATGGTATGTTGTTTTTCAAAAGCTTTTATTTTTTTAGAGATACAGTCTGAAATATTTATAGATGAAATAATATGAAGCCTAAGATTTGCTTCAAAATAATCCAGTTGGGGCTGGGGGTCTAGACAAAACAAGAATGGCCATGACTGCTATAGCTGAGGAACACACGAGGGTTTATCGAACTGTTTTCTCTACCTTTGTATACAGTTAAATTTTTCCATTACAAAAAGGTTTTTAAAAAATTCTAGCATCCTTGAATAACGGTTTGTTAAGTAGCTCAGTATCTTCTCAGGTTATAGATCATTCTTCATACAAAACTCTTCCTGCCTCGGTTCTTGTTATCTAAGAATCTTGTTATCTAAGAATCTATAGTTGTCATTTGACTCATCTAGAAACACATAACAATATATATACCCTCATGATTCAATATTTGTGGATAAAATGATGAATGCCTTAGCACTAAATTTAATTTTTTCTCTATGTGCAAACTAACTTTAAACCTGAAAAAGTATTTTGCCTTATTTCATTAAAGATTATATTTTGATTTATATCACTTAACCTATCATATAAAAAAATCAAATTCCACACTCAGATATAAACACAAAGAGCTCTGTCACCACAGCTGGCAGGTGCTCAGGAAACTAGGCATTATCAGATATATTGAGTTTCAAACTTAAACTTGCGTCTTTTGTGGTTTTTCCACCAATTCTTTGTTATAATCTGGAGATTAACAATGACAGAAGAACATTGATTCTTTACTTTCTTCTCACTTTAAGACTAATGATAACATAGACCATGTTTATGAAGACGTTTACCAACAAGATTACAGATCTAAATACGTGGGCCAAAAAGAATGGGCTTACCTGTTGCCTATATAGCGACAGTTTGCCTTCAACTGGCTCATTTCTCATCATTTTCTTTTCAATCAGCTGATTGATCTGTTTGTTTATTTCATTTATCTAAAACAGTATAAAGGTTAAAAAGGTTAAAACTCTCCCTATGATCACATAAACTAAGGGACATCTGGCCAAACAAAGCTTTGAACTTACAGTTGTTATCATCAGTGTTTTGATGGGAGGAACAGTTCCGTTAATGTTATGAGCGAGTTGTTATGATTACTTTTAGAAACAATTTGTATTTCATAGTTCATGATACATATTTACACAATTTGATTACTTATATGGATTTAACCATCCATGTCTAAGTTATCCTAAAGTATTCTACATGAAATATTTATACATTGTTATCAAAAGGATGATTTCTAAAAATCTTAAGTTATCCCTTCACCTAGGCTGTGACTTTCAAGTAACTGTAAGTTACCACTTACAGCAAATCTGGACTAACATTCCCAGGGACTTAGTACAAGGACTTCACAAACCCAGCTGAGAGTTGACATAAACATCTGAAAATCCTTCCTGTTCTAATGAATCATCTATAATTCTATGATAGCTGTCCTTTATCCTACTCGTTAATCTAAACTGTTTCCAAATGTAATAAAATAAAACTGAATAAAGCCAGCAGAAGCATACAGTCCTTCAATTAAAAAAAATTAACTGGCTTTCAGTATATCTATTCTTTGAAAAGACTAAAATTATCCTGTTAATCCTATGACATTAAATTTGAGCCAAATTTGACTTGGACATCGAATTTCTATATGTAAATTAAAAGAATAAAATGGTCAGAACTATGTATTGAATTGCAGTGACTATTGAGCACATTAAAGGACTGCAATCAAAACTTTTCAGTTAATTTTCATGATATTTAATTATTATTTTAAAAATGTACATTTGATTAGTGTTTTATTTCTGGGGAACAAAGATGAAATATGCTATCAGGTTTCAATGAGCAGTACAAGAAAGTTTAGTAATTTCAAGCAGGCATAAAAAGCTAATAAAAAACATTAGCTTTAAATATAAAATTGCTATAATATTATTCTTGGAAATAAAAATGAATATTTAAAATATTAAAAAACTGCCATCTAAATGATTATGAGCATATATAAAACCATGAGTCAATCATATGCATTAATGTATACATCCAAGTTACTTAAGTTTCCTAATCAGTTGACTAGGTTTTTATAACAGCATGTGGATTAAGTAACAGCATTATGTGCTATAATTTCTCATAAAGAACAACTCATAAGAGTTGTCAACTCTTAGCACAGGTTAACTTAAGAGTCAAAAGTAGCACACTACAGAGAGCAGTTCACATAATTTTCACAAGACTGGGGATGAGATTAAATTGGGAGCTATAAAAAGAAGATGATTGTTACTTACTTTAGATTCAAGTTCAAGAAGATCAGAATGGCCCATAGCAGGCTCTGAAACCACTTTTTGTAAAAAATGCGATTCTTTTTTCTTGTTCTCTAATTCTTTAGGAAATTTTTCAGTTACCATATATGAATTAAACTTTATCTCCTCCTCTAGCCTCTTCATTAAACCTGTAAAAATAAAATAAATGAATGTTCAGCCCAAGAGAGTTGATACAGTGATGCTTTGTACAGTTTAAAATATAAGACCTGGACAGTAGGGCATATCCATCGAAAGCATTCTGTATAATATCTATATAGAACAGTAAAAGATTGGCCATTGAAATTTTTGATGTTAATTAGAATGATAATGAAGGACAATTTACATAGAAGAATAAATTACAGAAAAAGTAATATTATGATCATTCCAAATTACCACTTAATTCTTTTATACTCCACAATATAAAAAAATAACATTTGCAGAGCCAAATACATCATCAGGTCCTGTTTTGTCCTCTAAGTATTTAAGGAATCCATGAACCAAATTAAAACACAAATGAAATCTAACCCAGGTTCTTTCCTCTAGAAGCAGTCATTTATCCTTTTCCTTTCACAATACTTATGATGTAATTTATATTTTCAATATTCATGAATGGTAAAACATTATAATCTTCAACTTTAAACCAATGAAGACATTACTAAAGGTATAAGTTAAAATTTGAAAAAGAGTAATTACCTATACTCATAAACATTTTCAGTTTTCCACGTTTGGTAGCTTTGATTTTGTAAAGTATTAATATACAGTTAAGTGGCAACTTAAATTACATTTTTAAGATTTAATAGTTTTCTTATTCTGGCAGAGTGCACAAATATACATACACACAGATTTTCAGTGAATAATAGTTCTGTTATAAATTCCCAGCCTCAAGAGCTTTAAAAGGTTTATTTCAGATCTTTCCATTACACATTTATAAATTCTGGCTCAACTTTTTAAAACAGTGGATTTCCGGTTTAAGTAATCTACGAAAGTAGATTGCATAATAAATCTGGCCCAAAGCCTTAACATTATTTTTAGTTCTGCTGTGCACATAATATATACACATATATTAATGTGTAAAAATTTATTAATGGCAAATTCATGAGTTTTCCATTCACCTCTGTAATCACCCCCTCTCCACAGCCCATTTTAGGAGCTGGGGAAAGGAGGGAAGAGAAAGTGTTTAATGAATCACACTTATAATTAGGTAGTCATTCCTATATGGTTTCCAATTAAACCTACAGCCTGGCTTCTTTGGCTATTAGATGACTAGTTTTTCCATCTTCAAGTCCTTAAACATATCATATGTAATCAGAGACGCAAGGAATCAAGGTCTCAAATGTTTTTCAAGATTTAAAATTCTTAAATATTACTTTCCCTGTTTAAAAAATAATCCATAGTAACAAAGCAGATTAATGGTTGCCTGGGGAGGAACAGAGAGGCAAAGAGGGGCAGGAGTGAGATATTACAAAGGGGCACAAGGAAATGTTTGGGGGTGATGGATATATTTGTTATCTTGATCGAGGCTGATGGTTTCACCAGCGAATACATATATCAAAACTTCAGTGTATACTTTAAATATGTGCAATGTAGTCTACGTCCATTTTACCTCAGTAAAGCTGTTAGAAAACATAAAGTTACCATCACATTTTAAATTCTTCTCTTAAAAATTTTAACATATACCTTAAAAAGCAGACATATGTTTCTATGCAGTTTTTAACAAGTTATCTTTCAAAATCCTGGTGAAATTAAATATAAGGTCACTAAGATTTCAGCAAACTTTCTGATTAAAAACCCTTGGCGGGGATAAATTGGGCGTTTGGGATTTGCAGATTGTAACTACTGTATATAAAATAGATAAACAACAAGGTCCTACCACACAGCACAGGAAACTACATTCAATATCTTGTAGTAACCTCTAATGAGAAAGAATATGTATGTGTATATGAGTGTGTATGTGTGTATAACTGATTCGCTAAGCTGTACACCAGAGATGAATGCAACATTGTATACTGACTATACTTCAGTTAAAAAAAACTCTCTAAAAAAAAAAAATCTCACTGATCCTACAACTGAATGAGTAGCTTGTTTTACATAATAAATCTCACGAATATGTAGAGTATAAAGGTAAATTAACTTCAGTGAATGTTTTATAATATGGTTGTTACTGTAAAAAAATACGAATTATACTGTTACACTAAAACTTTTATGTTATTTAAGCAAATAGAAACTTTTTGTAAGTCATTTTTTGTTACTAAAAAATTTAGATGGATCTAAATTTTGTTACTAAAAAATTTAAACTAAATGAATCAACTGAACATCAGCTTAATTTATTCTTTTCCTAGGCTGCTGAGTATAATGCTTAAGGCTCTGCTTCCCAGGAAGATGTGAACAAAGCAAGAACTCCTTAACTTCCTACTCCCCACTTCCTGTCCACCCACAAAAAACACATACTGCACACATAATATCTTATTTTAATATTTTCAGCCATTTTTATTCTTACTTGAGTCCCCTCCCACCTGTGGAAAGGGTCATTTTCTTCCTATCTAAGATTTAAGTCTTTACTCCCACCTCCCAACTATTTAACAGATTATTTACTGAATGCTGGCTGTGTGTAATCTAGTGTGCTAAAGCATGGAAATAGAAAGAACAATTATGACTTGGGGACTAGCCTAGAGTTTAGCTGAGTCAGAGTCAGATATGCCAACAATTAACATATTGCAGTAATTGCTGTAGAACATTCAATGCAACACATGGAATACAAGGGAGGACACAGGAAAGGCTGTTATCAATTTTCCCTTTTTCCTCCTGAATCTTCAAATCTTCATTTGTCTGACTCTTTCCTCCAGCCTATAAACACCACTACACGACTGTCCTCCCTCAATTCTCAATCATTTGCACACACCCTCTCTTGCCTTCTTTTCAAACACAAGCAGTCAGAAGAAGCCTGCCCTTTTATCTCCACTTCTTTCTCTGTCATTCGCTCAGCTCACTATATTTATGTTCTTTCAGGTCACTGTGTATTGGCATGGAGTGGCTTCTACTCCTTTACCTCTCCAGCTTTAACCCAACTCAACTGCCACACCTCCAGGAAGCCATCTGACTCTTCGTTAGGGTCTGGTGCTCTTTGCCTCTTTGTTCTCACTGAACCCTGTGCTGAGCTCCATCGGTGTTTTTGTCGCACTGCACTGTAATTGCCCAGTGCTTCTTATTTCCCCAGTAGATTCTGAGCACTTGAATAGAAATATCTTTGCTTTCTATTCCCAGCACTTAGCACAGTACCTGATGTGTAGCAGGTGTTCAATAAATATTGAATTAATGGACTATTGGTTTGAGCCAATTATTTCTATTACTACTTAACAATGCAACTGATTTTATTGTTTAGTGGCATCCACTAACATATTACTTATATTAATATTTTAAACCAACATTTCAAGAGATGCCCCAAGCAGAGCAAGTTTATTTGTCCATTTTATTACTAAATAGTTTGTATTTCCTGACCCAAACAATTCTATTTAGGTTAGACAGCCAAAGCAAAATAAAGTCTAACAACTCAAAAAGTGAAGTACTATTAGTACTGTAAATATCTCTTGATATTCTGTTTAGTTATCAGAATTAAAACATAATAGCAAAAAATATTTAACCTAATAAAATTAAGGATAACAAATATAGTAGAAACACACGTTCAGGCTAACATTTTAAATTGTATTAAACTGTATGGCTCAATTGATTATTTTTCTGCACACGAAATCTTTCAGATTTGTATACATTATCTTCATTCTCAAAAACTGACTAAGTGGTAAGTTCTAAAAATCACTTAGCAAGGATGGACCTATGTAAACAAATTGCTTATTGATATTAATTTTTAAATAGCTACAATTTAATGAATTTACTTTGAAGACATCTTAATTTTTTACAGTAAAGATATGAAGGGACATCAAATCCAAACAACACATACTGAGAAGATATATTATATATTATGCTAAGGAGAAAAAAAAAGCATTAAAATTTTCGTCTTGAAAATTAACATTCTCCTAAAAAGCGAAAACTTAGTGAATAAATAATCAAATGAGACCAACAACTAAATGCACACCAACTTCCAGGTATTGCCTGGATCTGAATCTATCACTGAGAGGAGTGAGAGATTCTATGGAAAGCCATTGATTAACATCTATTTAACCATATATGTTGCAGGGAATACTATACTGGTTTCTTAGATATCAATTAAATATACCATGTTTCCTTGATTTTAAGGTGCCATCAATTATAAGACACCATCAACTAAATTACAACTACCATGTTAAATGTATATATGAAGTGTAAAATATACTCCTGTTGCAAAAACAATTAAAATTGGAAAGAATATGTGTCTAGAATCAAGGAAACACTGTATTATCTCTTTTAGCAGCTTTACTCAGATATAATTTACCATATAGTCATAAGATTCATCCATTTAAACTGTACAATTCAATGGTTTTTTTAGTATATTCACAGAATCATATAACGATCACCACAATCAATTTTAGATCATTTTTATCAACTTCAAAAGAAACCTCTATACCAACTAGCAGTCACTTCCTCCCCCTAAACACTCACCCACCAACACAACTGTCCTCCCCTACAATCCCCTAACTAGTTTGATTTTTATTTCTATGGATTTGCTGATTCTGGAAATTTCATACAAATGGGATCATATAATATATGGTCTTTTTGACTAGTTTCTTTCACTTAAGATGTTTTGGCAATTCATCCATATTACAGCATGTATCAATACTTCATTCCTTTTATTATTGAATAATATTCCACTGTTTACTCATTCAACAGTTTAAGGATACTGGGGTTGTTTCTACTTTTTGGCTACTGTGAACAGTGCTGCTATGAACATTTATGTACAAGTTTTTGTGTAGACATATGTTTTCAATTCTCTTGGGCAGATATCTAGGAATGAAATTGCTGGATCATATGGTAACTACATTTTTAACTTTTTTTGAGGAACTGCCAAACTGTTTTCCAAAGTGGTTGCATCATTTTATATTCTCACCAGCAATGTATGCAGGTTCCAATTTCTCCACATCCTTGTCAACACTTTTTATTGATTGTCTTCTTTATTACAGTCATTCTATGTATTATATCTTAGAGTATAATATTTCACAGAATACTAGAAA